GGGGGGGGGGGGGGGGGCTGCCTGTGTCATGTGCTCCTCTCCTTGTCCGTCCCTGCATCCCACATTGTCTTTCATGCACCAGCAAATCAGTTTCAACACTATGAAGGTCATTAGAGCAGGCAAAAAGGACAGGATTAAAGCTGGGGGGTTGTGAGGAGAATAAAATATGAAAAGATGACAGATGGATTTGAATATTCCATTAACAAAAAGAAAGGAACGTCCTCACACACACACACACAAAAAGTGCATAAAGCAAAAGTGGTATTGAAGTCAGCAGAGCTTTTGAAACCACCACAAAAAAAAGCATCACACCTTATCGAGTTTCCATTTCAAAAAGCTCCAAAAAAGCAGACATAAAAGAGCCCTCCTTTTGCGCTGCTTTTTTAACTTACACACTAAAGCTTCAGCACCTGCTGCCTTTAACATTCCCACTAAGAGCAGCAGATTCTTACGCTCCTGTTCACCGCGCATATTCACAAATGTAAATTAAATCCCAGAAGCCATGCCTGTAGTAGCTGTTAGCTGCTTCGGACTGAATAATCATGTCGCTCAGGATAAATAGTCTAAGATAAAAAAAAAAGGAAAAAAGGATCCTCATGCAGCATCCGCAGCAGGCAGTATGGGCTGGGAAACACATCTGACAAGCATCCCTAATTAAGCCTTCACAAACTGTCAGTTTACTTTCAAAGTTGTAACTAAAAGTGAAAGTAAACTGACTCCTAAATGTTCAGCAGCAGCTGTAGCACCTCAGCGGCAGAGTGTGAGGTGGTTGGGGTAATGGGAAGCCTTTGTGGCACAGAGGAGCTGCAGACAGCAGTGGGAGCAGCAGAAGTAGCAGCTGAACATGAGGATACGGGAGCATCTAGTGTTGGTGTGGGAATACTGCAGGCAGCCTCAGCAGCTGAATAAAACCCAGCGCCGGCATGTCTGCTGAAAAGCACAGAGGCTATCTCCTCTTCAAGGCTCTACAACAACACACACACAGCATAAACAAGACGGAAGTGAGGACATAAATTAGACAATTTGAGAGAAGATTTACCCTCAACAGAAAATACATACAGGCAGATATCTGAGAGGTGTGATCACCCAAACCCATGCAGAGTAAAAAGCGGAAACTCAACCCCAGTCCAGCTGAAAGGGGATAAACAGCTGTGGAAGTTAGGTTAGATTTGCAAACACACAAAGTCTGAGGCATCCATTAAATCCACCAAATGAATGGTCTCATGGAAACATCAGGGGTAAACCAAAACAGAGAAAACAAAACTGTGGAAAGAAAGTTGGAATAATACCCAAGAAACAATCTGAATTCCCATTAAAAAGAGAGAGAAGCAGTGCTTGTTGAGATACAGAGTTGAGGACTGAGCTTGGAAACAATTCTTCCCTCTGTAAATGTTATTTGAAGAGATCCTCTGCAAAATGCAATTTCTGTGTCTCGCTGAGGCAAAAACATCCAGACAGACGTACCACTTGTTGCTGTTGAATGCGTATCGTGGCAGGAGAGGAGGTGAAGCGTTTCTCCCACTGGTTGGGCTGAGGAGGAGAGGGAGGTGGCGCCTCCATAAAGGAGCGTTTGAGCTGGCTAATGCTAGCTTGGTGTTTCAGAACCTCGTCCTGGGTCTTATCATGGTCCTAATGAGGAGGGGAGAGGATGGGGGAAAGAGGGTGATGGATTAGGGTAAAGGACATATGGAGAGTTGAGGATATGAGTGAAAGTGAAGATGGTAGGGATGAAAGTATGACATAAGAGGCATGGATCAGAGAAAGAGGCCAGTAGGAAGATTGAACGGATAAAGGGGAGAGAAAAGCAAGAAGAAAATTGGATGGAAGTGTAGCGAGATCAGGAAATGGAGAAATGATGGGAAAAGAAACAGGGGGTGGGAAGAAATGGAGAGGAGGGAGAGGGGCAGGACAAAAGGAGAGAAGGGATGAGGAGTGTTGAAAATTTTCACCCGAACATTAGTCTGTCAATCTGGAGGGAAACAGGATGGATGCTGTGCCTCACTGAAGCCATTCAGAATGAGACGTTTGTCTGGGTGTTTATATGTGTGGAAGGCTTCGGTGAAACACGGCCCCCCATCTTGTTGAGGAGTGTTTCCTTCAAACGAGGCTAGAATCAGCAGGGCAGATCACGGAGCTGGTAGCAATATTTTGTTTCTGACATTTACTTCACTTTCTCACTCAGCCTTTTTAATGGCTGTTAGTCCAAAACAGAGGCAGGTAGAGGCAACACCTCCCAGCAGTGGCAGTGAGATTTAACAACGAATGCTTTGTGGAAAATGACAGAAGATCACTATCAGCCCCACGCTGCACCAGTCGCTGTTGCTCCTGTTTTAGTAGGTTATGAAACCACACATATGGGGGCACTGGCAGCCTATCACCAGAAAAAACAGGGAAGAAGCTCCTCACGTGTGTTAGGGGAGACGGGGTTAGTCAGATTAGACGCTGCCGCATGGCAATGATCAAACCTTTTGACCAGTCAAGGTCTGTAAACACAGCAAGATAAAACAGCATTCACCATGCACAAGGCATGCATCAAAGTCACGCTGACACCACACCCATCCTCTCCACAGAGCAGCCATTGTGAGCGCTCAGGCTGGGAAATTTTTCTTCCTTGTTGTGTTGATGCAAATCGACTAAATAATTACCATACCATTACTTAAAGCTCGTTGTTCTCCTCTGGCGGTGAAGCTGACTGACTTCCATTTCGCAGAGAACACCTGTTACGAGCATCATTACCATTTAACTTGTTTAAAGCTGCATTCATCCGCCTTGCAAAGTCAATGTGGATTGTGTGTTGAATCGGCAATCAATAAACCATGTTGTGGTCCAGTATATTGTCTACTACTCTCTCTATTCTCTGCCATACCCTAAAGGAAACATTAATCCCTAAACTGCGGGCTGCAACATGCTGGAGGCTTTAGTCTGTCTGCTGGTTGACGTTGGGAAGTTTAGGTCAAAGGTTCTTTAACGCTGCAACACTGAGAATCTTGATGACAGTAAAAATATGGGCCTTGAACCCAAAGAGATCTCACTCTCCAAGCCTGGCTTTTCAAAATGGCCGCTATGTGAATGAGGACAGAAAGCAATGAAACATTTTATCATTTTTCACGCAAGAGCTGTTGAAAATCTGAAAAAAGCTTGAATTGAAAGAAAATTTCATCAGCAAATAAGAACACACACATGCATGCACACAGAGCCTGAGAGTGCGAGAGGGCAGCAGTCCTGTACAGCAGAGTACACAGGAAGTTGTAGTTGGCGTCAGAGTAAACAGAAACATGTGAATCTTATATCGGTCGACGCCAGTACAAACCTCCAACATTAAATTACTGTGCCTCACATAAATATTGTCCCCATGCACTCTCAATCGACTCTGGAAGGCAGACATATAGCACAAAATAATGAAAAACAAGAAGGGAAAAAAATGGTCCTGCTAACATGTGAAAATGTTAAAGATTTTTTTCCAAAAAATTAACCAATTTAACAAATAAGAAATAATAAAGGAAATTAATTCTTAGTCTGACATAAAAAATAAATAAACTCAAAAGCAATAATGTAAAAAGTGAGGTGCCCTAAATTGTAATGAACATTGCGAGATGGGTACAAGCACAATTCACATTTTGGTATTGTCCATGAGTGGAAAGGTGCTGGTGCTTGTACCCATGTTAACACATGCATAAACCAAATTCCACAACATCACCAGGCAGGTTCAAAAACCAAAAAACCCCAGCACAGATTAACAAAAAACCAAACGGAAACCGTGAAAGCCTTGGAAGCCACAGCAGAACCTCTGAAAGTGAAAATATTGGTGCCCACTCGGGGTCAGTTTTTACAGTCAGCCCAAATCTGAAGATTTGTTCAAGTTCAACTGATTTTTTGGATTTGGATTTATATCGATATGTATGAACTCTAAAAACTGACCGTGTGATCACAGAGACAGAAACCAGAGACACAAATAAACAGTAGTGGTGTAGGAACCTGAGTGAGTGCAGGATCGCTGCATCCAGGAGACTGTTGTTAGGGTAAAATCAGGGAGAAAGTGAGGACATGTTAGGAGTACTGCCTGCTTGCTCTGCTTTTCCACAAAGAGCAAGTGCATTCTATTCCTCTTTATTTAACTACTTTATTTAATTTAACTTTATTTCCCTATAATATTTTTTCCAGTGAATTTGCAAAGCATGCTGGGTAAAGACAGGCCTTACAGACCTTGGAGGGCATGGCTTCCGTATCACCAGGGCTTAAGTCCACCTCCTTAACCTTCAGTGTGGTAGTCATTGAGATGGTAGTCAAAATGAAGGGGGTTAGGGGCACAAAGAAAGAAGACAGTGAAATGGATGATGGGAAAAGCTGCTGGTCATGTGACCTTTCACCCAATGGAAGCTGAAATGGTCACACACAGCCATGTGTGACTAAAAATAATTGACCGTTAATGGAGACGTGAATGCCTTTTTAATGATAGATTCTCAGACTCTGAGTCCCAAGAACAAACATTTTTGGTTGTGTTTGATTTGATCATTTGATCATTTCACAAACGAAAAGAAAACAGTCCTTAATAGTGGGCTTAAATGAGTGACAGGCGGTAAATTGAACGCAGGGGATCAGGGTGCGTATAACACTGTTTAATCCAAACATTCATCAGCAATAAAATACAAATACAATATGCTTTAAGTGCTGTTGTTTTTTCTTTTATATATATATATCTCAACTCTAAGATCTAATCAGCAGCTAATTTCAGTGCCACCATTTCTTTGGACGAAAAAAGCAAAATGGACGGAACTAAAATAAATTAGAAAATAAGTGCTTCTTACACGTATTACGCATTATACATTGCTAAGATTTAATATTAAGTGCACAGTTGTTTGGAAAATAAATGAATAAATAAAATAAATGCCTTTTTTTTTTTGCAAAGTCTGACAAAGTAAAAATGTGGCAAGCAGCACTATCCAACCTGGGTCTATGTTAGCAAGATAATTATGTTTCTCAATATATATAATATTTATCCTTTTTAAAATCTCTTCTTAGTTTTCACACTTTGGGTAACCTTACTTTTTCTACTCTGGTCTTTAGACACAGTGGGACTGGTGGCAGGGATAGGGTAAGATAAGGTGATATTCACAGACGGATTACAAACGTTCTCGCAAAGGCCGAAGGAACAAAAAGAGTTGGAAAACTGGACCAGATGAGGATGTATGGATAAGTGTGAATGTGTGTTTATGCGGCTGGATCACACATCTCCTGCATCCAGGTTGTGCCTGCGTGGTGCCTGATACGAGGAGGAGTGTGCGTGGGTGTGAGAGGCTTGTTTGGCTTGTCGCTGACAACCACAGGTAAAACGGGTTTTCTTTGACTGGAGATGGCACTCTCTAAGTAACACAGAGTCAGGCCGAGGGGTGTAGCTAAAATCAGGGCCAAGACCAAAGACTGGCTCGCTGTCAGCATCACAACAAGTAGGAAGAGCACCAGGAGGCAGGGCAGAAAGAAAGGGGAGGGGTTCAGGAGGTAGCGGTGCACGGACGCAGCCAGTTTAGAGCGAGAGAAGGTGGCCAGAGGGGGAAGAGAGGAGCGACAAGTCACTGAGACGGGTAACAAGGACAAAGAGGGGGAGGAAAAAGACGAAACAATTTGGGGGCAGGTGAAAAAAGAAACGCTGGGCAAACGTAGTTGCATTTGGTGGGAGGGGAACACAGGGACCCAATTAATCAACTTCGGAGGAACGTGCAGGTGCAAGTACGCCACAAAACGAGCCCATTTCAGGGACAAATGTTTGAAAAGTTTTTGAAATTTAGATGCTTCCATGTTGGAAACGTCCCATTTTGGCTCATAGACGGTAAAACGATTGAGTGTCATCACTGGTTTCAGCGTCTGTTTGTTCAAAGCCGGAGTAAAGACCTGCAGTTTCTCTACTAATCTGGAAAACAGGTTTGTGGGCAGACACCTGCTTCCATTCTTTCCCAAGATGGAGAGAAAGCAAAATATGACAGAGACACACTTGACCAGCATCACCAGAGGGAAGCGGCGTCGCCAGTTTGCCAGCCCTGCTGCTCTGGCATTAGCCATGCAGCCCTCTTCAAATGTCAAAAGCTCTGAATTGTGAGTTTGGGAAGTAGTGTCAGGGTGGGGGGGTGGAGGGTTTTGGAGGAGGTGTCCGATATCAGCCAGCTGCTGATCTGAGAGAAAGGAGAGGGTGTTTGAGGGAAGGGTCCACAGTGAGTGAGCGGTTTCCGCTTCGTTGGTACGGTCTTCGTCTTCCGAGATGTCTGAAAGGCAGTGCTCAAGCTCGGAGATGGTGTCGAGGGACGGGGGGGTGGATGAGAGTGAGGATGAGGAAGAGAAGGAGAGAGGAAACATGAAGATGGACTGATAGGTGGGCAGTGACGGAGAGGGAAAAACACACAGGAGCACAGTAAGGAAAAGGCAGGCAAAGAGTAAAACATGAGAGGGAAGTAAAAAGAAAAGCAGACAGTATGGAGAAGGAAGGAAGAAGAAGGGAACAAGACCGCCGCACACAGTGAAGCCACAAACGATAAGAAAAATACATAAATGCATAAAACCAGAAAAGAAAAGTTTGTTTTGTGAAAATCAAAAGAAAACGTGAGATCGTGCAGGAGAGATGTGGGAAGGGAGGGAAGCAAACCATAGGGAGTGAGTGAAGGAAAAAAGAGAGAGGAAAAAAGACATTACATTAGTCAGTGAACTGCACAGCACAGTAGCTTCAAAGTGAACATCACAGGGCAGAGCACAGTGCAGAATACAGTGGGTACGGGAAACAGTTTCAGCAGCGTGTTCACTGCAAACAGAGGCTAAGACCATCCAAGGTGCTGGGAGTGAGGGTGAGGAGGCAGTGAGGAAAGGGAGGCAGGGCAGGAAGCATGCTCATACACAACACACTGTCATCACACTGTGCTAAGGACCGACTGACTTGATTGTGGACAGCGTCGCCCCGCTGGACGCAGGCGCTTAACAGAGAGGATGTAGAGTGGTGAAAACCATCCAGATAAAGGTTGTGGATTTATTATTTATCACGTAAGCACTGATAGAAGATTAGAAGCTCTCACTCCATTTTTACAACTTTTTTGGGGTTGGAAGAACTACTGTTGGCCCCGGCGGATGTGTTACCACGTGAATACAGAGACTGCACTAGCACTGATCATTGAAACTCTCCATAAAAACTACAGAAACCACTGCAGTCAAAGCAGTAGTATTTCCATTTCAGCTGCACGTGGAAGTGGAAAATTGCTGTTAGCGCAGTAGTAGTTCTTGGATTTTATTAAAACTCTTGTGAGCCTGTGTGCCTTCATGACGTGTTAAGCTGGTGTAGCCCCTCTGCAACTCCAAGTAGACTGCTTATTACAAGAAATGAGCGTATATCAAAGCAGGATACTGAACAGGAATGCTCAATAAAGTTGGTATTAGCTCATTTCCATCTTTCTTTACATATTAAAAACAACAACAAAAGTTGTTTGCATGTGATATGAACTACCACTACAAAAAGAAAAGACAAAATATACCCCACAAAAAGTCGCATTTGTTTTGTTTTAATCCCCTTGTTGTGTACACCCCACACAGTTTATGGAAATACATACCTTTGAGTCGGAGTGAAGCTCCAGGTGTGGCTCACGTCCATTCTCGGCCATGTCCCTGCCGACCTCGGTGATGCTAATCACCGGTGCTGAAACGCAGAGGGGGAAAAAAAAAATCAGCCATTTCTTCCACTGACAGCTCAGTTTAGGAACACTGGCTTGTTTAAGAGCCGGCTCATTTTCCGCTGGATAAAACAGGAACGCTTTCACACAACCTATATCTTTCAATAAAGTACAAGTTTAATCTAATAAAAAGAACATTTGAAAAAGTCATTGAAGTGCAGAAAGATAATAAATCGCCGTTAAAGGAAGTAACCAGCAGGGGTCACTGTAAGACGGTGGGACCAACATGACACTAAGGTGCACGGATTGGGGGATCTGTAAGCCACATTTATGAAATCACTGGAAAATAGTTAGTTGTTCCTTTTTTTCTAAAAGCTATAAAAAGGGTATTTTAGTCAGGGCCGTTGTTCCACAGGTACGTGTTTATCTGAAGACCCTCACTAGCCTCAGAACCTCAGTTATGAAGTGTCTGTCTAACGAGCTTTGACTGATTCAAGTTACAGAAAACTATGAATTGCATTTGACATCTTTTTTGTGCTGAGTATGTCATTCTTTTGGATTGATCAAATAACATTCTCTCTTCTTTCATCCGTTTCTCCCTCTGTGTCTCACGCAGCGTGACAGGAAACATATGCCGCAGCTATTTCCTGTATCTGGTCCGACTGAGCATGTTACGTCCATTCCAATCAGACTATCGCACACGCCTTTATGAAATTTCAAGCTCCTCCAGATGCTCTGTAGTCGTTCTATTTCTGTTTTAATCTGATATGGTTAAAAGTTATGCTTCAGCTTTCAGTTCCAGTCCTACTTGTGTGTTTTGTGATACCTCCATCCAGGCTGCGGCTGATGCGCTTTGAGGAGGTGCGCTCAAAGTTGGGGGCAGGTCGGTCTATGAGGGAGCTGGCCAGGCGGGTCTGAGCCTGAGTTCGGCCGCTGTAACGGAACTTGGAGCCGAGAGTCAGGAAGCGAGCTTTGGTGGGAGGTTCTGGTGCGTTTAACCTAGCGCCAACAAAGAAAAGAAAGAGGACCAGAAGACAGAGATGGAGGTGGGATGTGGAACAAAAATATTTCCTTTAAAATAAAATTTAACAGTTGTTTATACATGTGACTGCATGGAATGAAAAAAATCCAGGCAAGTTTTCCCTTAACAGGATATTAAAGCTTGCTCCACTTCCATACAAACGTGTTTGCAGGCACACTGAAAACAGAGAAGAGCAGGTATCCCGCTTATCTCTGCACACGTCTGTAGGTGTTTAGCTGTTTCCTCAAGCATCGGATATGTATCGGATACATTCTCGCAAAAAAAACAAAAAAACATGCTGACCCAAAGAATATAATTTAAAAAAGCTAATGCTGCCATTTGAAGCCCAGCCTGCAAATCCAAGGTTGCACATTCACAGTAATAGCTTTAGTACCTGAAGAAACTGTGGTTCTCCACGCAAACTTTCCACAGCCTTTTAGCAGATCGATGATTCTGGAGCTTAAACCCTACCGTGCTCTCAAACTGCTCCGTCTGTTGGAGAGACAAAAAGGCAGCAACCACATCAGAAAGGCTTTAATTCTGTGCACCTCTTACAATAAATAGCCACGTGTCTGTGTGCAAACCTCGCCCGGCCTAATCTTAATGTAGAAGTTGTTCCTCTTGTACGAAATCTTGAGGATTTTGGGCCAAGCAAAGCGATTTATCCGAAGTCTGTCTTTGTAGACCAGGAGCCCGTTGGCACACACGCCAAGCATGATGTCCACACCCTCTGAATCCTGCCAATTTCAAAAGAAGAAAAAACCTTTGTTATAGCAATTGCTTGATTAAACCGGGTGAAACATCTGTATGTGGCACCAATTTGTCTAAATCAGATTATGCCGGACATCAATTGATTTTTTTAAGTAGTCTGCTTAAGGTCAACAGAAACTCAATTATGGCACACAAACTGTCATTCAGTGCAACTGTAACACACTTAGCTGGCAGACAAACTCGCTACTGGGGCTTTTAAATCCAGGGCCATCTGGTAGTGGTAAGGCAGTATTGACTACTCGAGTAAATTAACAGAGGAGAAATCTGTTGGACTAATGGAGAATGCAATATGTTGATAATGGAACGTTTTACTGGGGCACACACACAAGTCACATGGCATTTCCATGCTAAGAGCTGGTCATTGATCTTTGTCCTCGTGCAGCAACCAAAGATACCTTTTAGCTCTATGGGTGACAATGATCGAACTTTCACTTGCCAGGAGGGTACCGTGTGTGTGTGTGTGTGTGTGTGTGTGTGTGTGTGTGTGTGTGTGTGTGTGTGTGTGTGTTTAATCATGGAGAAATGCAGATTCTGTGGTCAGATTCTGTCACTTCATTATCTCAATCATACTCTATAATGACAGGGTATTCTCAAGTTCCTATTACTTTTCTCGAAGAAAAAAATCTTTAAGTGTCGTTTTCTTCAATTTACTTCAATATTTAAGGTTTTCTGATACTCTATAAGGCTAATAAGGCTCATAAGCCAGAAATAGATCTACTCATTGAATTCCCACATCTTTGGTATGCAGTTAAAAAACCCCAAAAAAGATGTCCCCTAAAGGGGACTTTCCTTTCTCTATATCTTTAAGGTTCAGCTCTGATCCCAAACATTATCTTAGCCCCCTCCCTCCCTCATTTCTTTCTCAATCACATCCTCCTTCTATTTTAAGACTATCATTCTTTCCCCCCATTTTTTCCTGTCTTGTCCACGGACACAAGAACATGGAAACATGCACGCCGTCTGCTGATGACCTGCAATTCCTGTGAGAACAGCGGCTGTTCCCATAGCAATGGCCTCCCTGAGTGTTTGTACAGCTGACACACACACACACACACACACAGATACGATGGCTGAAACATGCGGGCGCGTCTGAATGCTTTACCCCTCATCAAAAGGAGCTCAGATCCCCACATGTTGACAACTAAGAGAAGAGGGGCTCACTCATTTTTTGAGGTCATACCTTTGCGTGGTGCAGGTCTACCCCATACATGGACAGTTTCTTAGCATTTTCTAGAAACTGGGTGTCGGCCTGTGCAGGGGTCATTCCCCTGTAAAAGAAAGAGGAGGTAAAACAATGATGAGATATCAAAATATGTGAGTTTGCTTTTTTTTGTATAATCGCCACTCTTAAAATTCTGACTTGTGGGACTTGTGCAGTTCGAGGATCTTCTCCTCCATCTCCTTGTTCTGATTGGGCGCAAAAGTCAGCTGACTCATGAAGTCCAGAGGGCGGGGCTGTTCAGGCTCATAGTCACCAAATTCGGCCTGTAAACCGGTGGGGGAAGAAAGGTAAAATTGTGCGTTTAACCGCCCGCACACCATGTGTGAGCACTCAAAGGACCGTCGAATGAATGAAAACAAATCAATTGTGGGAAGTGATGTACCTGCAGTGTGTACGAGCCCAGCAGAGCGTGAGTGACAAAGGAGCAAGGCAGGCGTCCAGAAGCCACATCTTCACGCAGCTGCAGACACAAAAGGTACCTACAGAGGACATTCAGGTGAAATGGGGGACTCATTTCTGGCTGCAGTAAACTGGACTCCAAAAAAAATAATAATTACAACTTTATGCTTTCAATTATCTTCTCTCTTTTTCTCAGAACTTGAGAAGACATTGATAATAAATTGATGTGTACTGTCTCTGATATTGTGAGGAAAAGGCCTTTCTTGGGATGCGTTTGTACTGCAGATTAAAGACAGGTACATCTTAAAGACAAGTGAATATTTGACCATTTGCTGGGAGACAGCTGGAGGACCTTTGGTTGGTTTGATGTAAAAATTGAAAGGAATCAAAGTTTGAATGTTGTTTTAGTTGGCCCTAAATAATTGAAATAATAATAAAATGAAGTGAAATCAAGTTTAAGTTCATGCACCTCCTCCCTGAAGTGTGTACGTGTGTGTGAGCATATGTGTATACCTTGTAATGTCCTCGGTGAGCAGTGAGGGGTCTGGAGGGTAGAACTTGACGTTGAAAGCAAATAGCCAGTTGTTACCTGAAGAAAGAATGAAAGAACAGCAAGGTTTGAGAAACAAATGAGACGGCAAAAGCATTTAAGCATGTGCAGATAATGAGCAGGTCCTTATGTGTATGATAAGTGTGCAGCGTCGTTCAAGCTCCACTTTAATCGGCATCAGACAAAGATGTGCTCATCACTATGTTATAACACTGTCTTCATTTAGTTCTAATTTCCTGATCTTTTTCCAACACCAGTCGTTGTTGTCAGGCCTCTTCACTCTCTCTGTTCTTCTGTCTCCACTCACACAAATGCACACACTCACACATGCTCGATAAAAGGATGGAGATCACGTCATCTGGAAAATTCAATTTGAGAAAACCTGACATCACATAGAAACCATTTCCTCCTCCGAGGTCATCCATGCAAATACACACACATACACACACACACACCCACACACAGATGCAGAGCCTGAGCCGGAAAAGAAACTCAACATTATCATTCTCACCAAAACTGAAAATGTGTTGAAAACAGCACCTAACTGGCATTGTTTTATTTAAATAGTGCTTTGATGTTGAGTGTAAATATGTGGAAATGTGAAGACACAGTCTGAAGGTAAATTAACTGCAACTTCCATACGCTACGATTGTCACTAATGGATCGGCAGGTACAAATGGCTCTGTGTCGAAAACAAATGCTCCGAACAACCAACACGTGTTTGCTATTCTTGTCATAGCAACTCAATGGTGCTAAATGACGCGGCCCAGTGAGGCACCCAAACCTGTAAAGGTTAGTTTGACGTAGGGGTGAAGTTGAGTGCTGCAGTTAAACATTAACAGTAGCCACACGCACAGCTGAGGTCTAATGACTGGTATAAAGCCAGACTTCTGTCTCTGCTCATTTTCATTCAGACGTCAAAATACTAAACAAAAATGTTATCTTACATTTTAGGCTTAAAGGCTGACAATTTCTTTGCTCTATATATATATGAGAAACATTTATAGTTTAGAGATTTCACCTTGTATTAATAGTCACCCTCAAACCCGTTTCTGTTCTTAGTGGAGTATTTCTTCTTATTCTTCTTTATTCTAATGAAGATGGCCTTAGTGTCTCATTTTCTATTATACTTATTCAAGCCACTGCCTTGTTCTATTATCCAAGTTTTGGAAGACTGAGCTCTTGGTTTTTCTCCATTTTTATATCCGAGGATTATACCAGGAGGATGGAGGCCCTAAGTGTAAGCAGATCCCACAGCTGAGGCTGTGGAGAGCTGCGCATGGGCAACACATCGTGCAGCATGGAGCCTCTGGAGCCCTGACCTGTACCTGAAGTCGCTGTTGTCCCGACTGGACTTTGGAGCAAAACCCGGCTCACTTTTTTTTCAAAGGACAAAACAATTTAAGGACCCCCAAAAATGATAGGCATACATGTTTAGCTCCAGAACGTGGAGAAGCACAGCCCCGTGGCTGATTGCAGACTGACGGTAGTTTGGAGAAGACTGGTGTCAACCCTGTTATTTGTGCGGTGCTGTGTAAACACATACACAAAAGCGCCCTGCGCGCACTCAAATGCATCAACCCACGTGCAGAACACTTCTTCTCACTCTGTAAACACTCACGGACAGAAAAATAGGCCCAGAATTAACACACGCAGCCGGATGTGTGGAAGTTATCGGGGCAACGGACGAACACGAACACCAACAGCGAGTGAGAAGTAATAAAATAACACGTTAACAAATTCTATTTATTGTCACTATTTCTATCTGTAACTTTCACTTTCCTACGGCAAACAGCTAATTTAGGAATTCTTACCAATGAAAGGGTTTATTTTTCAGAGTTTATGGCCAGCTGTGTGCACACAGACTGTGTGTTTTTAGCTCCACACCACACCCTCATCTCAAATTGATAACTTCACAACAGTTGACAAAGGGGCTGATAAATAATGGAAGGGGGGGGGGCTTGATTATAACCTGCTAACCTCTTCCACGCTTCCAGACTGCTGTCATTTGGTTTCAAATAACTCTGGTCTCTCTGAATCATAATGATGATGTTTGCTTTTCCATTGACACAAGGACACCTGTCTTGGTTTTTCGTTTCAGCATTCAAGCCACTGAAGCCGGCTGTGAGAGAGATGTTAATGTTTTAATTGGATGAAAAAATTAAGTAAAACTTACTGCGAATCTGTCTTTTAATATCCTTTGTGGGATCCAGCCAACACTGGAGCATCGTAAGGAGACACAGAAAAAGATCATCGAGCAGGTGTTTCACAAGATTCATTTCTGGGGCTTTTCGTTACATTTGCTTTCCATAGGAACGGATACATACCTTCTGCTCATGGCTGTCCTTGTATGTCAGACCAAAGTAGTCTTTCTCCAGCAGATTAAGGTGCTCACACACTTTGAAGAATAAGTATTGACCCTTAGCACGTTTCTGCAGGAAGACAGAATTTTAAAAAGTTTTAATTGCAAACATAAAATAGTGTTTCCCATTAACCTAAAAGGTGTTTCATCCATCACCTTAAGATGTTTGACATGAAATAAATTTTAAAAAACTGTCAGTGAGTCTGATCTGATTTACTGTCCACTGCTGTCTCGCTCAGTCTCTGGGTGACACATTCCTCCATTGGCCTGATACAAGCCTTAGCAATAAAATCCTCCAGACTCAACTATGACAGTGACATTTAGCACTCTTCCATGCAGGCACGCACGCCCGTGTGCGCATGCATACGCACAGCAGCGGCCCGGGCAGAAGGTCAAAAGAAAGAGGGTGGAAAGAAGGGAAAACTTTTATGATGCTCATTTCTTTTCGGTTAGTCAGCAGGGCCTCAGAGCACAGATGGAGTGGCACTGCTCAGACGGGCTTCCAGACAGGGCAGAGAGCGTGTTGGAAGTGAGGGGAAGAGGATGAAAGAATGCATTTTTCTTCTTGTACTGGGACAGCCGAAAAAATCTGCGGTATTTTCCTATGCTCGGTCAGTCTCAGGCGCCGCGCGCACGCACACTCAAAATGAACGGCCAGTTAATGTGAGAATGTCACCCTGTCTGGGCGTGTGTGCCTCCAAGCAAGGCACTTCGTGCCATCAAATGCCACACCTCTGCAGACAGATCTGTAAAACTCACCGGGATTAAATAAAAAGGAATTCATTCACATTTAGTTGTCACTTTGATCACACTCTGACACTAGATGCTGTGGTTCACTTCACCACCTGTATCATAACAGCTCAGGAGGAGAACATATCATCAACTTAAACCGAACTAAAGTGCCTGTTTCTTTTGGTTCTGAAAAACATAAGTCAAAGCACTTGTGTCACACATGAATAACTATGTAATCGGAAACCTAATGAAGCTCAATGAAGTGCTCCTTAAAAACGTGTGACACTGAAATCCAGCTGAAACTAATTCTAATGGAGTTCTTAGAAACAGCATTAGGGCCACGTGACACTAAGAAACCCACAAGAGAGTCAGAGGACATAGGCCTGCAGCTTTCATTGAAGGAGCAGCTCAAGTAATACATTTTTAATTAAGTTACAAACCTGGAACAGATCTAATGCCAGGGGTTAATAGATGGGACAAATGGATGATGGGAGAGGGCACAGGGAGTTGGAGTTAAAGAAGAGAGTGTGTACGTGTGTGTTTGTGTGTGTGTGTGTGTGTGTGTGTGTGTGTGTGTGTTTGTGCGTGTGTGTGTGTGTTTGTGCATGTGTGTGTGTGTGTGTGTGTCGGAGGCCTGCTGGGCAAAACAGAAAATTTAATCTCTGGAATGCATTGTGCATCTCTCCCTCTCGCGATCCTAACTATGCCAGTGTGTGGAGGGAGGGATAGATGGATAAGTGTGTGAGAGTCTGTGTGTGTGCAATATAGGACAATAGCAGTTAGTTGCAGTATCAGCGTTATCTGTTGTCACACAAAGCAGCCACTGTTCAAACCAACGAAAACTCTCACAGGCAGACTGCTGGGCGTTGCCACACTGTGGAGCAGGGAGCAGGTTTGCCACATTTGATTTGCCAAAAACCTGGCCTGGGAAAAGAGCAGCAGTCTGTTTGAGGGTCCTTGAAACCAGAGGGGGAAGGTTTGGGAGCTCCAGTGGATCTACATGCTGGTTATTGTAGGCAGCCTCCCACTGGATGTGGAGCAGGGTGGGGATGTGAGGGGTTGCAGGTCCAAAACGCAGAGTGCAATTTGGGGAAACGACCATTTAAACCTTTTCATGATAATAATGAGAGAAACAGACGGGGATTGTTTGATTAAGAGGGAGTTTTTTTTTAAAAAACGGCTACATGACTGCTGACATGACACCAGTCTGAAGGCCGTATGCTGCAGTGTCTGAGGGCCGTGTGTTTGTAGGGGGTCTAGGACACGTGCCTCTTTGGAAACAACAGATGCAGAGAAAAGTAATCTGGTGAGACCCCCTTAATCTGCTCTGTGTATGTGTGTGTGTGTGTGTGTGTTCCAGGCACCAGACAGCCCCTGCAGCTTGCTCCGCTTTGCACTACATTTATCCCCCTAAATTACGCCCCCAGCAAACAATGAGAGCAGGTGCTTCCACCATAACTGCACTTTGAGTCAGAAAGTTAAATACCCCCCAGCTCCCACCCGCACAGACACAGGCCACATCTGATCCTATTAGTGATTACATCATTGACACGACGGCAGTCACGTGTGGCCATGCTGACAAACCGAAGAACGTTAGCGTCCATCTTTTCTGTGAGGGGGGAGGAAAACAGCCCGCCTGTCCCCACAGCCTTACCTCCACCTCACAGGAGAAGTCAGTTCCGTCCAGGAGGGTGACGTGACACACCACCACCTTCATCTTGTTCTTCCTCACCAAGCGAAGAGGAGACTGGAAAATGGAGGTCTGACCTTCTCCTCCCTCCCCTTCGGCCGACACCTGTCCCTCCTGCTCCTCCTTCTCCTTCTCTGCTCCTTCACCCTCTGTTGTCTCCTTGGTCTCTTCTGGACCCCTCTCTGCACTCTCTTCCACCGTCTCCTCCTTTGCCGGCTGCAAGTTTAGAAAAGGAAAAAGAGGAAATAAACTAGCCTGCCCACAGTGACTTTCAAACTCCCTTATGCCGTAATAAATTCTAGTTTCTCCCTCAGAAGATCACATTTCTTTCTCTTTGACTGTCCTTGTGTAATTCCCCTTCTAGTGTGAAGTGGCTCTAACGAAATGCAGGCGTTTCTTCTGGCCTGATCACTGAAATGTTGATGTCACTGGGTGGGCCTGGGTAGCCTTAAGTGATCACGGCATGGACGAGCTCATGAGTGTGCAACGGCTCTGCATGTGTCTTACTTTTATCCCTTCTGGACTAAAAGGGCGTTTTAAAGAGAAAATGCTGCCAAACAACATCTCACCCTATGGGATCTTGCTCGGTAACAATAACATCTGCGGTAACCACGGAGAACTTTGTTTTTTTTTTCCCACTGATGGATTCATCTCTAAAACTAAAAGGTTTCGGCTGTGAGAGAAGATAATTTCTCAGAAACTTCGAACAGTTGCTTTTCAGGGTTTCGGCCTTTTAGGTTTATCCATTAAGGCCAGTTTTCAGGCAGGGCTGGCGCCTTCCTCTATTAGTTCCTGTCTTGTTCATCCCACAGCAGACGCCTTATCGCTAATGTGGCGTCAACACAGCACCATAACAGTTTGCAGCGGTGCTTGTGACATTAATGTGATTCCTGTGGGTGTGTACAACACCTGCCCTAAATCTGAGCGGTACCTCAGTGTCTGCACTGGCGCTGGAATGAGATTCTGCCTCCTTCTCCTTCACTTGCTCCGACTTTACTTCTTCTTTCTCTTCCACCTCTTCTGCGTGACCATTCACCTCTGGGGCAGGCTCCCCCTCCTCTGTTGTCACCTTGGTAACAGATTCCTCAGTGGGCGGGGCCTCCTTCGTCGGGGAGGTCTTGATGGTGAAAAAAAAAAAAGCAAATTCAACGGTAAAGCTTCGATATTCATTAATTCGTCCATTGTCATTTAAGGGATGCCAAATCAATTAAATAAGGGTAGTGATTTTAGCATGAAATGACTTTACCTGGCTTTGAGACTTCTGCTTCTTAAGCCATGTCGGCAGGTACCGGGATATGCCTTTGCCCTCTTTGCCCTCTTTTGCTCTCTCCTTCTCTTTCTCCTTCTCCTCACCCGCAGCGTTCAATACTTCCTCGGTGTCTTGCGTAGCCTTCTCTGATTGGTCCGGCTGAGCAGCTGACTCCTCCGCTTTTTCCTTAACCTCTGTCTCAGAGCCCGCTTCTGTTGTCATGGTGACGGGTCAACCTGCAGAGACAGACAGAGCGTGATGGAGGAGCACCAGAAGCAAAATGTATGAAGCAACAGAATGTGCCTTTCTATACATGTGAAAAATGTTTTCTATAAATGCTTTTTCTTCTTCTTTTTTAATCGAGGGAGCACAACCCCTCTCCGCGAAGCATCTAAATTCATTCTGCAATATTTGTATCTTGAATGAGGTCTTGTTGAATGCAAAGGCAGATATACCCTTTTTTTCAAGCTGAAGGTTAGTCTGGGTTATGTGAGTGGCTTCTTTTTTTCGCTTTGAGGAAAATAAAGGTTTCTTTTCAAATGAGAGCTTGATGAACAAAGCAGAAAATGAATGTCGAGTGCATCAGACGTCAAAAAAACAAAAAAAGAAAACATTTATTACGGTTGTTAAAGTGAGCTGAATCTGAAACTTTGGCCCACAGCTGCAAGCCAGTGAGATCATAGATACTGGTAACATTAGCTTCTTGCTTCTTTTTTTACATGAATACATAAAAAACTAAGACACAGTGGTTTAGGGTGTCTTTGAGCGGGTTTCATGTAGGTCAGCAGCTGGTTACAAGCAGCCACACAGACACGCAGAAAGCGGACGAGTTACTCAATTCTTCAAATCTGAGTCACTGGTTTTACCCTGCAGCTGTGGTCAGCACAGACACTCTTCAACCCAAATATATTTGGCAGCACTGTCCAAACACACCCTATCACAGAACGGCCACTTTCTATGCAGCGTGACATTCATTTTGCTGATAACACGCTATGACATCAGTCTGCAGGGGAAATTCGGATCATGAGTGGGGAGATCCACCCACTGATGGGGTCTACCTGCAGCCGGGGGCCGCTGGGATCTGGTGTTCCTGTTTGTACACAAGCAGCTGCAATTCAGAGTCAAATAAGTCACTGTGTCCGTAGTCATCCCTGTCTTTTTTAACCGCCATCACCCGGACTGGGTGAACGTTCCCTCATCCCGCAGATTTTATTTGATACATTATGTGCATTTTATTCTCTGACCAGCTCGCCACCCCTCCCACTTTCTCTTTTCTGCGCTGCCACCTTCGTTGAGCAAGGACATACAGGCATACACATACACACACATCTACAGTGCAGAAGTGGCGAGCAGGGAGGGACTGGGAGTAAAAATAGAACAGGTCTTCTTACGCATGATCGGCTAATGAGGCAAGGCGGGGAGGAGGAAGGATGGATAAAGAGAGGTGTGTGCAAATGCCAGGGCGGCAATGGACTTCAGAGGAAAGAGGAGGGAATCCCAGTCATATGATACATGGAGCATGAGACACAGGTGCTGGTTATTTTTCCTGTTGCTCAACAGCATTTGGTGAGCATCTTCTTAGCACAGTGTTCCTTTGTTCACCTGCATGTAGACTCATCAAAACAGATCTGTTGCTACATTTCAACTGCACCTCCTCCTCCTCCTGAGAGATGCTGTGCTCCCCAGTGGACGCGCTCACAGCATGTTTGTGTGATCTGGCATCTGAGAGGAGCTCGGTCACGGCGGCTTAGGCCTGTTCTCCACTCCCCCTGCTTCCCTACAACTGTTTAACACCGGGATCCTTGTTCTGCTGCTCTCTAAACTTCAACTCTACCTCTCCTCATCCCCTTTTTTGCCGCCCCCCCTCCCCTTTTGTTTATTTCGTCTCTCTCACTCTCTTCTGCTCTTCATCCCAGGGTGCCTCTTTCTCAACAAATCTCTGCCCTCATGTCTCCTCTCTTCCCAGGCCCCACTCCAACACCCCCCTCCCACCATCACCATTCTGCATTATCTCAATCTAAACTCCTCCTCTAAACCTCTCTGTTCTTCCCACAGCCAACATAAACCATATCACGGCCTTATAGTCCATCATCATATGTACACGTAAACACGCTGAGCTGTGCAGATCATGTCAGGGGAACTTTCTTTAGAACATCTAAAGTGAGCCCCGCTGTCCCGAGCAACAGATACGACTGAAGTCTCACAAAAATGAGGTCAAACGTGCTTCTTTAATGAGAAGTGCATCTCCAGTCGGAATATGTCTACAGGCACGCACTGTTCCACTTAGGTGTAGTAAATTTCATTCAACCATTTCACACTCAATTAGCTTCAGGGAGAAAAAGAACATCAAGGAGAATCATCGTAAAACTCGGACTCTGTCTTTTCCAGGCTCAACATTGCTGGCTGGCCTCTCTCTTTCCCTCCCACACTCAGAGCGTCTCTGCCTGTTTCATTGTTGTCTATAAACTTGCAGATTACTCTTTCACTCGGTGATCGCTTAACTGGATGTATATAAAACGAAAGAGCGTTGATAATACTGTCGCTCCCGAAGATGAAAGTCTAACGTTCACAGCCTCACAGCAGTCAGCCTCGCTGCGCCGCTTCACTGAGCATTAAATCTATACGCGGTGCATCTGCCCTGGTAGTTTTTATTTCTCAAATGAAAGGATCAATGAGGGGTGAATGAACTGATAAACATATGGCCTTACCTACTGGTGTTTCTGTAGCTCTGTTCCCCTTTTCCTCGTCCCTTCACTTCTTCTCACCTTCTGTTTCCACACTTTCTTTTAATTCTTTCTGCCTATATCCCCCGGTTTGGCTTCCTCTGCTTTACTTTCACGTCCCACCTTTTCAGCCTGCCCTACATGCTGTCATTGCCATTTTCTCTCCTGCATCCTCTCGCCCTCAGAGCCCCCCTCCCCCAGGGATGGCCGCTCCGAGAAACGAGGGCAGAAAATGAGGAAGAACTCCAGGAGGGAGGATGGGGGTGCTGAGAGAAGAGTGCTGCTGAGAGAGAGGAGGGAAAGAGGAGGATGGACGCATGGAGGACGCAACTAGCAGAGCAAAGTCAGCAATGTGAACCGATCCGTAATCTTTGGCAATACTGATCAGTTAAAGGAAATGGCGGAAATGCATGTCCACCTCTTATCCCTCAAAACACTTCACAACACTAAGACAATGCTTCTGTTTTAGAGAGCAACACTTTACATCCAATAAAAAAGATGACATAGAAGAGAAAAGCCCCGCCCACCAGACTTTTCTCCTCTCTCCTAAAAGTCCAATGTCTGGGATAGCATGTTTTTTAAAGCCACTGCTGGCCAGATCCCTCCCTCCACGTTTTGGGAGTTGCCGTTTTTGACCACTGACCGAGCACGCTGCAGTTGCACTGAACAACACACTAACAGCTCTTCCCCTCGCAGCTTTACTGCTGTCTGACTGGGGGTTAGGGCTGCAATAATGGCTCCCTAGCTTGGCCTGTAGCCAGGAGATAAAAGTTTATGACAGGAGCCCAAAAAGGATACGAGGCTGAGGAGCAGACTGAACTAATCCAACGTTTTCCACACCTGCTCATGTCCCAGTCGCAGCAGACTGAAGTCGAACACAGACACATATACGTACCTACCTGCTCTGTTCTGTGGATTAGAAAAGAGGGGAGGGCGGACATGGGGAAGAACTGGTTTCCTTGGTGAAGGCATTCATGGACTACAACAGTAAATCCCCATGGAGACGAGAGATTACCACGGCCAAAAATTCAGATTAGAGGACAAGTGCATGGATGACAATGGAGATTATTACCGTGTCTAAACCCATTCGGGACCACTTCAGCTTTACAGGAAATATTCCATACTGGAGCTACCGGATTACTTTTCACTGATGCAAAGCACCCAGCTGAAATGTGTGCTTAGTTTACACCAGATCCTCATCTACACGTGTCCCTAAATACGGTTCCTGTTACCATAGTAGTGACACTGATGATACCAGCATGTGTGGATGAACCCCTTTCTGTCCATTCAGTGGATCTTCAGTCAGTCTAAACACTGAGTAGGAGCAGTGAGACGCTGTGAGATGTAAACAAACTAGCCACTTCCGTCTGGCTGCTTTAGTCTTAGTGTATACAAATGATATCTGAGACCCCAACAGAGGGAGGGGAAACCTTACTTCACCATCCCTTCACAATGAAACAGAGGAGCCAACTAAAGTATTCCTTCGGTTGATTTTTTTTAATTAGAGGGTACAAAACATAACCGTTATGCTGGGAAAAAAGGTAAACAGTGTTCTGCTTTAAATAAAACCTTTCTGATAGACTGCCTCTTTCTTTATCAAAATCTCTGTCTATTCAAGTCACAGGCTTCTTATCCTCTACAGCAGGTGTTAGCCTCAAGTCACACAAACAATACTACTTACACTGAAAATGTGCCATAAAAATATCATATTTCAACCCTTTCAAATCCACCCATCCTCCTCGGTTTCAGCCTGAGGTTGATGCTGAATACACAGTCATGAGAACGCTCAAGTGACGGACATGTGATCGCTTCAAGGTGAAATATCAAAACGTGTGCTCTCCTCGTTCTCTTCACATGAAATGTTTTGACAAACTGATGGAGCCAATAAACAGTTGCAGCGTTTTGGTGGAACTGCAAAGTTATATCATACAGCTGGTGTACAACGAGATCCAACAAATAAACGAGTGGAAGAACTTCTGGCCTTCTGACAGCTCAATCTACTGAATTACAAAAATGTTTAAAAAAAAGAAAGAAAAAAAAGGAACTGATCCTACAGATCACGTCCAAAGCTCTGCAATGAACCAACTGCCAACAGCCGGCACTATCAGAGCCCCCGGTTTGGGAGTAACCACACACATTTAGAGTGTGGAATCCTAATCTGAGCTGTTCTCCTGTGTGATCTGTCCATCTGGCACGCTGCAACACAAGCATGACCACAAAACGACGCCACGCATACAGGGGCAGGTACACGTGGGCCAACCCTCCCAGAATGGCTGCCATACTCTTTTGCGACGTCAAAGGCAAGCACACATCCTCACGCGCACACCGAACGCTGGTGGTGTAAAAATTCGGGCCACGCCTGTCCCTTTACACAGAACTCTGACCCTCAAACTGAGGATTACACAAAGGATAATCCCTGTGTATGTTGGTGTGCCTGTCAGTCAGCCTGCCTGTCTATCCATCCATCCATCCATCCATTCATCCCCTCTTCTCACTCCCCGTGTCCACTTCCCCTGAAACCTTTCACTGCC